AGAAAAGAGCCTTCTGCTCTCGGTGAGTGGAGCGGCGCCAGGGTGATGCGTGCGGCCGGCAGCCCCGAGCGCCCGCTCCCCCCTTCAGGCCCCCAAACTCCAAATCGGTGCCTTCCCGCACCTCGGTCTCTTGGAGCTGCCGCCGCCGGGACGTGGTGATGATGATGTCTCATTTGCAAGACAGACGCCAACCGAGCGGTGACGCCGCCCTCCGCAGCCCCGGCAGAACCTGGAAATCCCCAATCCTGCCGTGGGGCTCCCCATCCAGCACCCAGCTCCAGGGGCTGCAGGGGGACGGGGGACACGTCCCCTCCCGGCGTGGGACGCAGGGTCCCTGCCCGGGGCGAGGGGCTGTTCGGATGCTGTCCAAGCACGACGCAAGCCACCTCTCCTCACCCCTGGGTGAGGAATTTTGAGTTTTCCCAACTCCGTCTCCTGGATCTCTGCTGCTTCGGAGAGCTTTAGTCATAAAAACCCCCCAAAGCCGGGGAATTCCTCTTCCTGGAGCCATTTAAATCATCAAAGTGAATTCCCTCCGCTCCGCTCCCATTTGTGTTTGTTCATTCCAGTCGCCTCCCCGACGGAAGGTCTGTTCTCGGGGAGCGGTGCCCGGGACGTCCCTGCGCCCCAAGGGCCTGGCGTGGATCGAAACACCCCGAGGACAACCCTGTGCCCCCCCGAGCAGCCCCTGGGGGCTGCGCTGGGCTCTCAGGCCCTGTGTGTGGCCGCCCTGGCACCGGTGACGTCCCAGACCCAAACTGGACCCAGGTCCTGCCCTGGCACCGGTGACATCCCAGACCCAAACCGGACCCAGGTCCTGCCCTGGCACCGGTGACTTTGCTGCTGGACGTCCCAGACCCAAACCGGACCCAGGTCCTGCCCTGGCACCGGTGACTTTGCTGCTGGACGTCCCAGACCCAAACCGGACCCAGGTCCTGCCCTGGCACCGGTGACTTTGCTGCCCGACGTCCCGGACCCAAACCAGACCCAGATCCTGCTCGCGTGCGGCGCTGGCGCTCTGAGCGCAGCAGCGAGGGCGAAGCGGCTCTGGTCTCCCTCTCCTGGAAAACCAACACATTTCCCGCTGCCCGGAAGGTTTCGGCTCTGCTCCGGCTCCCAGCCACCCGCTGCCCTTGGTCACCCGACCCTGGAGAGCCCTTCCCTGCCTTGGTGGCTTCCGCCTCGTCCCTTTGCCCCGCCGAAGGGGGACACTCCTTCGTTAAACCGCCGGCTCGAGCCTTCGGATGATCTTACAAGCCGGGAAGCTGCAAACAAGCTGCGCTCTGCCCATAAAAAGCCAAGGGCTTTCGGCGTGGAATCATCAAGGCCAGAGGGATCTCGCAGCGCACGCAGGCGGTGGGAAGCGCTCCCGGCAGGACGTGCCACCGGAGGGGGGAGACTCGCACGTGGCCGTGGCCGGTCTTTGCGTCGGGGGCGCGGGCGTGAGCCCCAAAATGTGGCTTAGTCCCAGCCCTCATCCCCTCAAAGGTTTTGCAAAACCCCCCTCAAAGCTTCCATGCCTGCGATTCCGCTCCTCCGGCCTCCTGCTTCCTACGGGAACAGGCGCTCGCTACCCGAAATGCACCCCAGGCTCAGTGTTTAGGAACACCGAAGCGGCGGTATTCCCTTATTTTTCCCCAAATTCCTGGCTAGCCCGTGCCAGCGGGCCCGGCTCCGGTCGAGGCATAGAGCAAACCGAGGGGGCCCAGGAGCCCATC